CTTTTAGCCCCTGACTAGACTCGCTGGTCCCTAACTCCACTTCCGTATCATTCCCCTCCTCTTCAAGACCTTCCTTGTCCCCAAGGATTAGAATGTTCAGCTTCCTAACTCGACCATCCTCGTCATCCTCATCAGGTGACTCGCCTGGATCCTCAGTCCTCAACTTGACCCTCTTACTTGATCTCCCGAACTCCATAGTTCCTTTCCAATAATCGGTTGTGATTGGACCAAGAGTTTTCAACCATTGGCATCCAAGCACTATATCAGTCGCCTTCAATGGCAAGGCATAGAGATCCACTCTCATCCTTTGACCTTGAGCCTTCAATTTTACATCCTTGAATAGAATATCTCCTCGTAGTGTTTCCCCGTTTGCAACCTTGACTCCAAAAGGTTCTACCTTGGTGAATGGAATCTCAATTTCTTGGGATAGCTCCTCATCAATGAAGTTTAGCGTAGATCCACTATCAACCAATACTTCCACCAATTTTCCTCTCACTTCAGCCGTGAATGTGATCATCTTCGGTCCGCGTTTCTTGCTTTTAACCATATGCAACAAGGACTCCTCTCGTGGTTCTTCTTCTTCGCAATTATCTCCAATTTCCAACAAAAATACTTCCTTACCCTTGCACTTGTGGCCTGGCGTGAACTTTTCATTGCACGAATAGCAAAGGCCTTTTTCTCGTCGTCGCTGCATCTCTTCATCAGTAAGCCGCCGTATGTTGCTTGTCGTTTGAACAGCCTCGCCCAACGGCTTACTTTCAGTTCGCGTCGATAGCTCTTCAGTCGCAGCGTTCGTGCGCTTGGTCTCCGTGCGCACGTCGCTCGGCTTCGCCTTGCGTACTGCCACGAGATGATCTTCGTGCAGTCTAGCCGATTCTATGGCTGCTCGCATCGATCCTGGCCTGTCCAAACTCACTTCGGCTGCCAGTTCAACTTTAAGTCCTCCAACGAAAGTCCCTACTAGCGCACTCTCAGGCCAATCCCTTACTCTACTAGCAATGCGCTCGAACTCCTTTTGATACTCCCTCAGGCTTCCAACTTTCTTGATTCTCGACAAGGCTTCATTGTAATCGTGGTAGTCACTTGAGCCGAACCTTGTGATGAGCTCTTTTTCGAAATCCCTCCAACGCATGTGCTCGCCATGGTTCTTGTGCATAACCCATTGCCACCATACGTTTGCTTCTCCGTCTAGATGATAAGCAACAATTTGAACTCTTTCGTACCTTGGCACATCATTGATCTCAAAAAATTGCACAGCTCGACTCAACCATGCATCCGAATCTGTTCCCGTGAACGTGGGCATAATAATTTTTGGCCGTGTACCCGCCCTCTCGTCCACTTGTTCGTCACGATTGTGGCGTCCCTCGTGTCGCCGTGCGTTGCGCCGTCGCCCATCGTGGTGTGGCCTCCACTCGTCATGTGTCGCATGCGACGCATACGATGCGTGTGATCGCCAGTCGTCGTCCTCCTCGCGCCTTCGGTCGTGACGTGCGCGTCCATCATACCGTCGCCGATCGTCGTGGTGGTGGTCCACACGCGATGCGTGTGTGCCTCTCGATCGGCGATCGTCCTCGTGTTCGGTCCCGGTACTTGCTGCCATAGACCGCGACCCGTGTC